CTGTATGGCCTAACATGACTGGGAAATGGTATAGTTGGGCTTATAACCCGTACGTTTCGGTATATGTTTTGCGCCTTCAAAATGCAAGGTTTTCTTACAGGACTGGTTCGATACGAAACCGGTTTTAGCTATCAGTGAACAGCCTGGAAGTGGTAGATTGGTTCACTTACCGCCGGATTTGTGTGACATCTGGTGGTCATGTCACTGATGAGGTAACTTCGCGTATCAGCACGACTCCATCGCAATGAGGCTGGACCTTACCGTGGTGCGATGGTTTGTGTGCCTCAATGATCCATTGAGCTATACTGGATGGTGCTTTTGCACCTTCAGAGCCACTCATACCAGATTGGTCAATGGTTAGAGGCCAGACAAACTCAGCCTCCTGGTCCTCCAGGTTGGGGGTTGGAATGAGGGTGGCTTCTTATTCCTTAAAACGGACTCCTTGTAGCCCAACACCAAACCCGCTGCCTTGCGGACAGGTTTTTGAACCAAAGGCTTTGGTTGAGAACCCTAATCGTTCTCCTGTCTAGGCCTGGGCAACCTGACAGGATCCTGCCCACGTAATACAATGAATCGCACTTCAAACAAATTTCTGATGCGCTGGTCACCGCAGAGGATAATAAATAGCGCCCTATCTGCTGCATCGGGCAGGGTGGATAGGGGTTTGGATGCTACTGCTCAAGCCTTCCCATCTTCTTATTCCCCCTCTTGCGCTTTTTCACCCTTATCGTCCCGGTCCAGCTTCACTTTTATCCCCCCCTGTTTTCAACCCCCCAATCCTCGGCCCTCCCCCACCTTGCTTCAATAGTCGCTTGTCTTTTAGTTTCAACTCACATGTGAACGCGGAGCGTCATTCATGCACTGTCAGCAGGCCCATGTCCAAGCAAGCGGCCCATTCCAGTTCATCGGGTTCCATTTGGAGCCCTCGATCCTTTTTCAGATTGGCATGCCTCAGTGTTCGCACATTGCTTCAGATCGGTCAACAGGCAGCACTTGTCCGAACATTAGAGACCCTCTCAATCGATATCTGCTGCTTATCGGAGACCCGCCTCCAAGACTCGAGCTCTGTACTCACTCTGCGATCCCCTTCAGGTGACACTAGCAGCACTTTCTCATTGTGCCTATCCGGTGACGATGCAGCTTCGAGCACCGGCCAAGCCGGTGTTGGTATTGCCCTGAGTCCCCGGGCTGAAGCTGCTCTGGTTGATTGGATTCCAATCAGTAGCCGGATGTGTGCGGTCCGATTGGCTGGCTCGTTTAAAGCTTCGAAGTCGCGCGGGACTAATAGATGTCTATTCATCATCGCTGCCTATGCGCCCACAAACTGTAGCGATGAATCGGTAAAGAACGACTTCTACCGCCAACTGACCCAGCTCCTTCGCCACAGAAGAAGCACGGACACTGTTGTGCTGGCGGGGATATGAACGCACAAGTTGGAAAGTTGTCCACTGATGAACTGCATCTGGGCGGCCAACATGGTGTAGGCTCCCGTAATGATAACGGTGAGCGGTTACTTCATTTGTGTGAAGATGCTCGCTTATTTCTTGCGAGCACTAATTTCCGACACAGCACACGCCGGAGGGTGACTTGGCGCCCACCAGCCTCGAACCAGCTATGGACGCAAATCGATCACATTGCGATAAGTTACCGATGGAGAGGCTGCGTCCAGAACTGTCACTCGATTTGGAGCACATGTGTAGACACCGACCATGCACTTGTATGTGCTGACCTGTGGATACGTTTTGGCGGACGCCCAAGACGACGTTGTGAGCGCATTGACACCAGCCAACTGGCGAAACCAGCTGTTCTGAATGCCTATCAAAGTACGCTGTCATGCGAGTTGGATAAACGCTCACTGGATGCAATTGAAGCTCACTGGTCTCATATTCACCAGACCTTACTAGCAGCAGGCAAATCCTCATGTGGTAAGTCTAATCGCCAACATGGACATTAGGTCTCTTCGCAGTCTCTGGAACTTATCGATGGTCGCCGACATATTCCGGTTGGAAGCGAACACAACGAAACTCGCAAAGAGCTCCGGGCGAAACTCCGTGCTAGCCTGAAGAGAGACCGCGAATCCTGGTGGTCTCATCGTACATCAGAGATGGAAATGGCCGCTGCCCTTGATAACCATCGTGAGTTATTCCGTCTGATACGGGAAACGGGCAGCAGGAGACCTGATGTTAGTGAAACTATACGTGACGAGAGTGGACAGTCTATCCACAACTCGTCAAAACGCTTAGAACGTTGGGCTGAGCACTTTGAAAGGCAATTTAATCGGTCAGAATTGTTAGATTTCTCGCCGACCACTGATCGCCCTGCTCCGTGGGCTGTCCATTTGGATCCACCCTCTCACTCTGAAGTCGAACGTGAGATCGAATTGTTGAAGTTAAATAAAGCCGCGGGACCTGATGACTTTCCTCCAGCCTTCTTCAAACTCGGGGGACCTGCTCTTGTGGATGATTTACACGAGTTACTAGTGAAACTTTGGGAGCAGGAAACTGTCCCAACCGACTGGAGTCAGTCCGTCATAGTCCCAATTTTCAAAGGAGGCTCACGATCGGAATGCGGCAACCGTAGAGGAATCAGTCTGATCTCCATCGCCTCCAAATTGCTTGCCTCCGTCATCCTTCACAGACTGACTGGCACTCGTGAAAGCCAGATTCGTGAAGAGCAAGCTGGATTTCGTCGAGGTCGTGGCTGCATTGATCACATCTTCACTTTGCGTCAGTTGTTGGAGCACCGTCACACATACTGGCGGCCCACCGTTGTCGTGTTCCTCGATATCAAAGGTGCATTCGATTCGGTGGATAGATGTGCACTTTGGGACTGTCTACTCAGGAAAGGTGTACCTGAGAAATATGTGAATATTATCCCAGCATTATATGCGCGTAGCTCGGGCAGAGTGAGGGCTTACGGAAGGTTGTCGTCGCCCTTTAATATCTCCAGCGGCGTGAGACAAGGATGCCCGCTGTCACCTTTCCTCTTCAACTTCGCTGTTGACGAAGTCATGGTAATCGCGTTCACAGGACACGACTTAGAAGGTGTGGATCTGCTCCCAGGAGAACGACTTCTTGACTTGGAGTATGCTGATGATATTGCCCTCATCTGTGACAGCTCACAAACTTGCCAAGCGGCACTGGACAGATTAGCACTATCTGTCGGTCACTTCGGGCTTTGCTTCGCACCCTCGAAGTGCCAAGCGTTCTTCCAAGATTGGTCTGGACCGCCTCCTACGCTGACCCTTGGTGGGAATCAGCTAGAAGTCGTTCAAAATTCAACTACCTGGGAAGTTGTATCAGCGCCCATGGGATTGAAGATGAGATCACGAACCGTTTAGCAAAAGCTCGGGGCGCTTTTGCTAATCTTCGCCACTTGTGGCGCCGGCGCGACATCACTCTTGCCCTGAAGGGTAGAGTGTACAATGCAGCGGTACGTTCGACCTTACTGTACGGTTGTGAAACCTGGCCGCTTAAAGCAGCGGACCTAAAGAGGCTAGTTACGTTCGACCACCGTTGCCTTCGTAATTTAGCTCACATCTGGTGGGAACACCGCGTGAGCAATGAGCGTGTTCGACGTCTTGTTTATGGCACAGGAAAAGGAACTGAACCGATCAGCACCGTCATTTCACGCATCAGGCTCCGATGGCTCGGCCACATGTTACGCATGCCAGCCCACCGACTCCCGCGACGTGTGTTGTTTGCGCGCCGGGGGTGTGGATGGAAGAAGAGGAGGGGTGGCCAAGCGATGCCTTGGTCGAGAGGAATGAAGGCCCTCACTTCGGAGCTGGCCTCGGTTGGAGCGTCTCGGCTCCCTGGTTGGGGTCCGAAAGACGATGAACACGTTTGGTTGGACACACTTGCTGATATGGCTAGGAGTCGACCTCAGTGGCGTTCGTGCTGTGAGTTTCTTTGTCCCACCCATCCCTCTTAGCCTCCCCCTCCAACCACGATCTTTATATATATAATATATATAATAATATAATACATATATATATAATAATATAATATAATTTTGAATAGTAACTTTTTTTGGTGCACAGCAGCCGGCTGGTAGCTTACCGGAACGATGCCCATCCGTTACCGGTAGCTCAGCCAGTTTGCACCAGTTGCATTTTTTCTCCTTTTTTTCTATGTATTGCGGCACAGTAGCTGAGGTGTTCCCCACCTCTAGCTAACGTGTATGATGATGATGATCAACACGGCTTGAGTGGCTTTTCAGACGCTCAACCATCTATGGAGACGTCGGGACATCAGCATACCGGTGAAGGGTATGTTGTGTAACGCTGCGATAAGGCCAGTGTTACTGTGTGGATCAGAAGCCTGACTAGTTCGCAGTGAAGACACTAAACTCTTGGTCGTGTTTTACCACCGTTGATTGTGGAGCATTGCTCACGTCTAGTGGGAACACCGCGTAAGCACTGCTGAAGTCTGCCATTTGGTTTTTGGCAAGAAGCTTTCTGGTGCCTCACTCGAGTGTTTGATTAAGATCAACCGCTTACCTTGGATCGGTCATGTCCTCCGTACGCCTATTCATCGGCTTCCTCCATGCGCATTCTATACCGTCGCTGCACTAAGTTGGACCAACCGTGAGATGGCCAGTCGATGACGTGGCGTAAACATATGCGGAAATTACTGGGGACCCAGGATGGTCCACATCAGTCGTGTGTACTCAGTGGAGTTCCTGCACTCGGTTTCTTGCATCTCTTCGCCGTCTTGCCACTGCTTTTTTCTTCTTGTTCTTGTATTGAGGCACAATAGGTGTGTTTTCCATCTGCAGCTAACATGTACGATGATGATGATGACCCTAAGGTAATTGCATACTCCCCTCCTCTCATTGTCTTGAGGCAGTCACTCTTTCTCAGTTTGTATGGTGGCCCCTATTTGTACATTGAAACTTGCCAGCGGTTTGTCGCACTCATTAACTTTCCGTCTTTATCCCTCTCCTTCGCCACGTGCTGTGCTAGCGTCCTCATTCCCGTTTTATTTTTCCCCATTCCAGCTTTCGAATTCCATCCAGCTCTTTTGCTTATCTGGTCTACTCTCGGCTTTTGATACACCTTTGCTGCCTAATGCACTCCAATCTTCAATCAGCTAGCTGTCGGCCATACACAATCAGTCCGACGACTACCTGTCCTGAGCGATATCATCTGTACCAAAATGTGAACGCGCATGTGTTGGATAACTCATCGGGGGCACATCCTCATCACCAACATCAATCTTCATCACTACAGCATCCGCACCATGGTGTTTATCAATCTACATTATCGAATGGTGTTGATAATCAGCCCGCTGTTTGGCCGCTTCGTCAAGATTCACGGGTGCAGTCTGATCCTCGTTGGCATGCACCACATTTGTATGTGACACCAAGTGCCGTTCCTTCGATTGGGCACCCTGTTGCCACACATCCACCACCGACCATTGCCCCCAGGACCGGATTGTATAGACACCCTACTATTGTATCATACTCCCAGGTAAAGGTTGCGCTGCGCTGCGCTGTCTTTCGTTTTGCTTGCTTTACTTTCAATGCTTTCTGTGTTCCTGTCAAAGGATCCTTACATGCGTTCAGAGAAGTCTGAGACTTCAGATACTGCTCGGTCGCAAATGCCTTTTTATGCTTCATTAGAGTTTTTCCAATATTTGCAGTTCTAGTCTGTCCCATGTTCTCTCTTATTTGTATTGTTCGCATGTGTTGATGTGTTTCTAGTTACGGGTTCCCCTTTCACTCTCCGATTTATACAGCCTGAAGCCGTACCTCCTTCAGAAATAGGCTTATTTACAGGAACAATGCTATCTAACATGTAATATTTGAAGAATTGCACAGTGATCAAACGCGCGCCATACTTCTCCGAACTGCGTTTCAGCCACTGAACCCAGTGAATTTTAAACTAAATAGCTAGTGCCCAACACTTGATCCTTACTATTTGATTCTGTGCAACGCGTGCGTTTCAGTTGCAGGCTCAGTTTAGTCCTAAATTTTTATATGCCGTCGCACTTTGCTTTATTTTCAACACGGCCTATAGTACAATCGGCATAACGCCTCAACGTATGGAAAATACAGTAAACATACGAAGATAGAAAGAAAAAATCGGTGTTCACGGGAATAGTGAGTCACAACCAATCCGCCATTGTGCACAATTTCTTGCCATGTCCGAGTGTTTCCAGCCATATGTGTCCCGGATCCTTCACACTCCAGCTAGGGAGCCGAGAGCGCCTGATCACGGCTAACTTTAACGTTACCTCCTTCATGATCCTGGTTCAAGCCATACGTTGGCCACCTTGCTTTCGCTTCCAGCCGACTTCTGCGTGTGCGAAGAGGACACGGCGAGGTAAGCGATGAGTAGGCATTCGGAGAACATGCCCAATCCACTGAAGTCTGCGCAGAGAAATCATACTGCTCAGTGGCAGGCAAAGTCTATCTGATCTGAAAATCCTTCATCGAATATCTTCATTCCTAGTGTGATGTTGCTATCTTGCACCAGCAATGCTCCAAAAACAGCGGTGATCAAAAACAGACAACCTCTCAACATCCTTTGAGCTAACAGGCCAAGTATCGCAGCCATAGAAGAGAATCGCTCTCACCGTGGCATGGTAAACTCGGCCTTTCAGAGATAGACTCAGATCACCTCGGCGCCCGAGATGGCGGAGATTGGCAAAAGCAACTCGAGCCTTGGTGACGCGCAAAGTGACCTCATCCGTTAAGCCATTAGCGTTGAGACAGCTTCCAAGGTAAATGAACTTGTGCACTACTTCCAGTGAACGACCTAGAAGGGTGAGGTTAGAAGTAGCGCCTAGCCAGTCTTGCATGAAAACTTTGCATTTCGATGCTGCCAAAGTCCTTCCAAACTGGGAGACAGACATCTCCGACCTACATAGGACATTTTGGGCGACCTGTAAGGAAGCGCAGATTACGGCGATGCCGTCTGTCTACTCCAAATCCCGAAGTCGGTCCCCGGAAACAGCTCGACGCCGCTTGGTTTGCAGTTCTCCAGAGCACTCTCCAAGATTTCGTCTATAACGAAATTGAACAAGAAGGGTGATGTTGGGCAACCCTGTCTCACGCCACTGGTGATACCAAAGGGGGTGAAAGTCCGCCATACACCCGCACTCGGCCCAAGGTTTGAGAGTAGATAGCTTGAAGTATGGTGACATACTTCTCGGGCACTTCCCTTCTCAGTAGAAAACTCCAGTGAGCAGCTCTGTCGATTGAGTCAAACGCGGCTCGTATGTCTAAGAAGACGACAGTCGTTGGTTGGCCAAATGTTTGACGACGCTCGAGTATTTGGCGGAGTGTAAAGATGTGATCGATGCAACTCTGACTCGAGCGGACTCCAGCTTGTTCTTCACATATAATCTGGTCGCGTACCAGGCTGAGCCTCCTTAGAAGCAGAGCTGGGAGCACCTTGGAAGCAACACAGATGAGACTAATCCGTCTTTGGTTGGCGCAGTCATTTCGGGTACTCTTTTTGAAGACGGGCACAATATCCGCTAGGCTCCAATCAGATGGGATAACTTCAGTGACCCAGCTCTTTTGGAGGAGAGAAGTTAACTGAACAAGTGATGGGCCTCCTTTGAAAAGAGCCGAAGGGAGTTCATCTAAGCCAGGGACTTTGTAGCGCTTTAAGAGGTGAAGCTCGTGGGCAACCTCAGCATCGGATATTAGTGAAGCGTCTACACATCAGGAAGCCTGCTGGGCTCCAGAATGGGAACTCATTGGTGCTACTGGCCAATTAAACTGCTGCTCAAAATGCTCGGCCCCGCGCTCGAGTCTGCGTTTTGACAGTGGATTGGCTTGCCATTGGTTTCGCATAAAACTTCGCTTACAGTCGACTTTTTGCCGTCAGTAGATTGGATCAGGAGGAAAGCCTACGGGAATTCCCCGAGGTGGGCGCTTGCTCCATCCCAATCACCCGCTGCGTCCACCAGGACTCGCGATCTTCCCGGTGAAGCTGTTTGAGCTCAGCGTTAGTAGTTTTACTTAGTGAATGGCATTTAATGCTAGCAGGAATTGCTCGATGGTCTTCGAGAAGTTGGAGGGATCGTGAGGAGATCCAGGGGTTGACAGTACTACTGGTGAAGCCACAGACCAGGGTTGCAGAGTTGTATATGGCGCCGCGGATGTGTATCCAGTGTGTTTCAACGTCTGTGCATGAGGCACTCTTCAGCCGTGAGGCCAAGGCATCTTGAAATGCGCGGAGAAGGTTCGGGGCAGAAAGCTTAGCTAAGTCAAACCGTTCCTAGCGACGCTGCTGGGAGCCACCAAAACGTGGCGCAACCTTGGCACACACCAGCGCGTGATCCGAAGTGGAATAGGTACTCCAGATTTGCAGTCCTTTATGTTACCCTATCAGTAATAGCTAATGGCAGTGTGGTTAGTTTGTGTCCACGGCTGCTCAGGTGATGGAGGTCTCTAAGTGGCGCGTTGGCGCCAGGATTTCCGAAAGCTAGTACTCGACAGAAAGAGACCGTGATCGGCGCAAAGCTGATGTAGTCGATCACCGTGGTCAGTCCTGAGAGTGCCATAGCCGTGTTGACCATCGAGTTCACCTTCATCAAATTCAAGTCTACCGACTTGCGCGTTCAAGTCCCAGGTGAGCACCACGATGTCGGTGCGGCGCTTTTTACGGAGGAGGTCGGCTAGTTGACCATAGAACTCATTAACTGATTCCGGGCTGAAATCTATGGGAGCGGAAGCTGCGACAATGAATAGACTGCGTCTGTTGGCTTCGCACCTGGACAGTCACACTGAGGTTTCAAGTCAGATCGCCCATAGTCGCCTGTTAACAACGATTCAGTCTAGTATCGCGACCTCAGCACGTGTGCTCAACGCAATACCCACGCCGTCAAGACCAGCGGCTTCGGTGATTGAGTCTCCAGATAGGCGCAAAGTGAAAATGCCAGTGGAATTCGCGGTCGGTGAAACTAGTCGCAGCGTCTTGCTAGAGTCCTGTAAACGGGTCTCGCTGAGACCGCATGGTCGTAGTTTCTAGAATGCGAGCAAGCGCTACCTGTGATCCAATCTGCACCAACATCCGAACGTTAAAGGTTGCCAGCTTGAATTACAGAATGGGCGCTAGAAATGGCTTGTCAACACGATTTGACGCATCTTCGGACCTGGCCTCCTAATCCGCATAGCGAGAACGTTCACCCAATGCGACACGATGTTGTGAACTCGAAAACGGAGGGGGAAGACCAATAATGGTGGGTTGAACAGACGTGGAATAAAGTGAATAAACCGTGGTGCGGTAAAAGTTAGCTTGGCAGGTTCAGCCGCCAGCACCTCGGCCGGTGAGAGCAGTTAGAGCGAGAGCGGAGGGAGCGAGCGAAGAATTGTTGAGACATGCATCCATAGGTTGTGTGGGCACGGGACTTCCCGGTTGCCCAGGCCGAGGAAGAGGGTTGATTTAGGGAACCCCACCAGGAGCCTTGAGTTTTAAAGACTTATCCAGCAAGGTAGCGGGACGATTGACGTATACCACGACCGTTGGGAGTCGGCTCTCTAGGTGAACGGCTTTCGATTAGAGGCAAACTACTCAGGGCGCCCAAAGCGCCCCAGTGAAGCAGCAAGGACCACCGAGCTTGCAACGAAGCACGAAGGCCGTTGACAGCCTGATGGCTCATACGCCTTCATAGAAGCCGGTGGCCACCGAGATTGTTCATCCGCCCTCCGTTAGGTACTCACTTATGTGACCGGAAGTGAGTGGTCAGTGACCCTATAGCCGGTTATATTGGCTTTAACACAGCGTCTTGCGAGCTCTTGTGGTAGTCAGTGAGGAACCAGGTAACCAGCCCAGAACCTCCCACGCTCTAGGACGCTGCCGCTGATTGTCCGCGACTGCTTATGCATCCCGTCTGCGAACAGCCGACACTTATTCACAGTTACCTTCGCAAGGAAGGCGTTCCCCGATCCGCAACCTGGGGACGCTACGGGTGGCGTACAGCTCCTCCGAACCAACTAGTAGTCAGTTCACTTCCGGCAACAATATGAACTGACTGGCTTGCTGAACAACCTTCCCGTGGTGCCAGTTAAGCGACTCGGGAATTTCCCCTTTTTGGCCAATGGTTTGGCGGCAGTGATCCAGAATGTGCTTGATTTTCGGTTGGCAAGGCCTCTTTCTACGAAAATCCACAAATGCCTGCTTACCAACACTACGACGTGGCTGATGTGGCTTACCCCTTGTCTCCCTCGGAGACAACGTACACCGGCAAGCAATCCGAGCATCGGATACTACCTCTGACTTCAGGAGTGTAGGGCCCCTTTCGCTATCTGACGCACATGAACTAAGTGCTCAGTCGGTGTTCCTAAAAAGCGTCTACTTCGGTATATTATTATCCCGAACTAATAGCGACTCATACATGACAAATAGGTTTCTGCGCTGCGCGCGCATTCCGTAACTATGCTTACAGGTAGCGGATACTTCATGCGAACCAGACGGTATTGTTCTTTCTATGTTTGATAGGTCCAGTTTAGTTGAATGAGTATAATCCAAGCCCCGAAGTGCGGTGGATACAGTTGTCACGACTGACATCGCAGTTATAACCGTTACTAACAACGGCAAGATAGTGGAGTTAAAAGCAAATAGAATGTAAAGAAAATGGAAGTAAAACAGCAGTGCATTAAACTATTTAGAATGTAACGAAAATTAACTACCAGATGGAAGAAACCGAATGCATGAACGCCATTGGCTGCCTGACTGCGCCATATCTAATAGGATCTCCAACCATTGATGTGGACCATCCCGAGGGCCTCATCCACGAAGACGGCACGTACCTACATGAACAAGTCTCAGTCAATTTCTTCATGCCTCTATGCTACTTCATGAAATGGATACCTCGCGGTTTCGCCCAAATTGGTGCAGTCACGGAGTATAATGCACGTCGCGGAAACCGATTAACGGGCGTACGGAGGACATGGCCTAAGCAACGTAAGCGTCTAAGATTCATTCAACTTAGGCACCACAAGGCTTCTTACCAAAGACCAACTGGCGGATCTCAGCACTGCTCACTGGATCTTCCCACCAGCTATGAGCAATACTCCGCAAGCACCGGTGGTAACATACTGCCAAGCGTTTAATGTTTTCATTGCGACTGGCTAGATCTCTGATCTGTACAGGAACACCGTAGCGTTATACACCATACGTTTCAATAACAGGCTGATATTCCGCTGTCTCCATAGATGGTTGAGCCTCTGGAAAGCCACACGTGCCTTACTGGTACGCGGGTTAACTTCTTCATTGATGTGATCACCAGAGGTGACACAACTACCACCACTTCAAGTGGGTGTTCGGTGATAGCTAGACCTTAGGTTGTGTCGGTGCAGTCCTGCAACAGTACTTTGCACTTTGAAGATGTAAAGCATATACCGTAGCATGCAGCGCTACGCGTCAGTCTATCCAGTAGTGTTTGCATATCCACTGCCTCATACGCAAGAAGAGCTTTACTAACTTCCTCGCCAGACCGCGAGCTCTACTGTTTTGCAAGCCTCTTGGTAGCAATCACATTCAAACTTTAGCGATGCAAATTTTCCCATCCAGGTTATTGTACTGGTTTCGGCAACACAAAGTATCGCACACACACACACACACACACATATATATATATATATATATATATATATATATATATTAAGCCGAGGCCACTCGGGACCACTACAGAAGCGACGACGGGTTCTGCAGTGAAGTACTCAGAACCGGCGCAGCGTTTGTAGGTACGCTGCATTCGATTTACTAACCGCGTGCTTGCATGCTAAGTCTCTTTATTTCAGGTGGTGGGTTTTCAATTTTGCCTTAATGCTTTTCTTTCTCATATAAATGTCTACCTGTACTCTATTCCATTAACTTGCACACCTCGCTTAAGCCAATTGTATTCGATTTTGTGTTCGTGGCATTCCGTAAAGTATACTTTCTGACCTCGTGAACTTATCTAGGATTCGTTTGTAAACAACTTATTTCATATGCTCATTAACTTAAGGTTTATGTTACCGTTTTCTTATGCATTAATCGAGTTATTTTCTTTGTCTCTCTCTCTCAAGTGATTGGCTGTTGTTTGATATCCCCGGTGTGGCTGCGCTTGATGTGCATGTTGACAAGGTGCCTACCTGTCTACTACCCACTATCTCTTCTATACTGGCTCCAGGAGACAGTTGGTCGTTGCTGGAGGGGACGGGGTGCACAGTCCTTGTGGTCGTGCTAGGCTCGAAGAGTGGTTCCATGCACTCAGTGTGGAGCGGACTACGGTCCAGCCACCGCCTTGTGTGCGCTTGATTCCCCAAATACAGTGTGCTTGTGTTTGTCTGTGAAGGAGTGTGGGTCGGCTCCGTTGATGAAACATGGCTCCCATCCGCATGCCTCCCGGTCTTATTCCTTCAGGTTTACACTGGATATGGGGTGTGTGGTTGTAGCTGTGAGTGGTGCAGCGCAAGCCACCCATGGTCCCTCTGTAGGCGCAGGCGTCCTGTGTCTGGCCACAGTGACAGGCAAATCCGAAACCGGATGCCGCCAAACTTATATATTAAGCACTTGATTAACAGTACAAATGGTAGAGTTCCACAACGTACGGGCAAAGTTAGTACAACCATAATGAAATAATAGAGGGTGCGTTAAAGACGAAGTGTAGAATAGCAATTATGGGGGTAGTGCCTCACAACAGATTCGCCATTGCTCACAGTTTCTTGAAATGTCCGACGGAGTTTTCAGTCATGTGTGCTTGTGGTCTTTGCGCTCCCAATCAGGGAGTCGAGAACGCCCGACCGCGGCCAAATGTGAGGTCAGCGCCTTCATACTTTTGGCCCATGTCATTCTTCAACCACATTGTCTTCGCTTCCAGCCGACTTCTGTGCGCGCAAAGAGTGCACGGTGAGACAAACGCTCAGTAGGCATGCGAAGCACGTGCCCAAGCCACCGAAGCCTGTGCAGTGAAATTATGGGGCTCAGCAGCCAGCACAGTCTTTCTGATCTGCGAATCCTTTGGCGTACATCCCCATTATTGATGTGATGTTGCCACTGCACGCCAGCGATGCTCCGGCGTGATCATGAGAACACAGATGTTTGAAGCCAGTGCAACTGTTAACCCTAGAGCCTTCACACTTCACACAAGGTTTGCATTTTTACGGGACGTCTGGATGAGTCCAAGCTGTAGTCCTTTTGGCTCAGTCCATAGACGTTACAATTCGCAACCCTGATTCAGCTGAGATCAGAAGCCCCACCACTTGTATCTCTGCTTACATATACACGGATGTCGTTCTGCTAGTTACGGATAATACAGTTGCGGGTCGTGTACTGTATCATTACCCTAAATGGGGGAATAGAGTCGCTAAACTCTTCAACATGTTATTGAGAGGCGTTACACACTCATCTGTACTTGGTCAATTCCGAACGGGTACCTTGTCACAGGAAGGTTTCTTCAAATCAAAGATGCTGTTCTACAAACTTGCATTGGGCTGGGTGCATTACTGATAGATACATGGGCAGTATAAGGGAACAAATGTGTTCCCTTGGTACATGAGCAACAGGCACAGTCCAAGTGCCACTCAACTATCCAATACCAATCCTTTTATCCTTATCGCGGATGCAGTAGCAGGTACACAGTTTGCAATGTCACATTTGCTCGATGGTGCTAAATCGATGAAGATGCAAATTTGCCGTGTACCAGAGAAGTTTATTCTCCATCTCACCTCATGCGACCTGTCCGTGGATGATGCTCTGTCTCAGAGTCTGGGAGTAAAATTATTCGCTAAAGTATAGTTGCTTGGGACTTGTTAGGGACTGGAAGAAGCGAAACTTACCAACAATACGCTGGTGTTTCATAACAACGTTTCACTGACGCTTGAGTACCGCCGAGGTTACCCGCATCCTCGTAAGCACGTATCACGGAACTGTGGATTACCAGCCAGGTACCTGGACCACTCGGCCATCGAACGGTTGTAGCCTGTTACATGGCATAACTGCCACTTTATTTTTTTACTTTGCTGTCTGCTTAATTCTAGTCTCTATCTGGTCTGGGATGGTGAATTTGTGAGCTCATGGTATTGTTCCCTAATTCATTGATCTCCAAACCTACCCGGCTACATGTCATGATGGGTTTTAAGACACCGAGCGCTTGCCTCTTCTTTTTAGCGTTTTTATTTTTGACATTTCTGCCTGATGGAATTTGTCATATTGCACCTCGATTGGTTGATGTTAGTCCTCATTGACTTTTGTCCCGTTGCCGCGCTGCACACACTCGAACGTATAATCGGTATCTCTAGTTTTCCTGGAGCACATGTGTTCCAGTGTAGCTATATCACCCTAAAATTAGCGACTGTTTGTCTCAAACTGAGGTCCCGTTCCCCTCATCAGTGACATTGAACCCGCTCACTTCGCTCGTTCAGTCGCCAAAACTTTGATAGCACATCGGCTGTCCGCATCTGTTTCGTACTCGTCTCAGCTTCGGATGACACCATTCTCTTTATCTTCATCATACTGCTTTCTGCTTGTGACGCATTGCTAGTTGATCCGCCCTCCTGTTATTTTCCCCCTTTTCAGCCCACAGTTATCTCAGACCACATTTCAACTTCATCTGGTGGGACCCACTCGAATCCCACTGTCTTATCTCAGAATGGTCATCCCGAACAGCGGGCACAAGCCACACACTTATACTCCTCCCCGCAGCGGGATGCCATTGGTCGATCGGGTACACGGTGCGTTTACTCGTGCTTCCCGATTTTTGACTGCAATATACGAACGTAAAATAACTGACCGTCCTTGGTGAGCTCTCTAAACCGTTACTTTTCATTAACCGAAACCGGGATTCCATAAGCACATTGGTCTTCAGGTAAGGCTTGCTGGAGCCGCGCTCGGTCGCTAGGTGCACTGAATCCCTGCCGCGAGTACGACGTTTGCAATTGCGACCGTCAGTTCGTTGCCACTGATTTGAGAATTGTAACCAAATATTGCTGTTCTCATTTTCACCCTCCTACCGTTTTCCTTCCCGTATTATACCGACAATATCGATGCTGCAGCCTGCTTTTGAATGCTATGATTTTCCGCTTTGCCTGCCAGTTTACTTTCTTCTCTCCGTACATGTTCCTTACCTTCTTATTCGCTTTCCCACATTGCCGCTGTTATTACAGTCGTTCAGCTTACACTTGACAACCGTGCTCCCAACCAAGTCTGCTTTTTTGTAGCTTCGTATTTCTAATTCAGTTTGGTTCACATCTGGTAGGGACACCGAGTGAGCAATGAGCGTGTTCGACACCTTATTTACGACACAGGAAAAGGAAATGAACCGCTCAACACCGGTATCTCACGCACCAGGATCCGATGGCTCGACTGCGTGTTACGCATGCCAACACATCGACTCCCGCGACGTGCGTTGTTTGCGGGCCGGGGGTGTGGATGGAAGAAGAGGAGAGATGACCAAGCGATGACTTGGTCGAGAGGAATGAAGGCCCTCACTTCGAAGCTGGCTCCAGTTGGAGCGTCTCGGCTCCCTGCTTGAGGTCCGAAAGACAATGAATACGTTTGAGTGGATACACTTTTGACATGGCTAGGAGCCGACCTCAGTGGCGTTCGTGTCGTGAGTTTCTTTGTCCCACCCCATCCCCTCTTAGTCTTCCTCTCCAACCACGATCTCATTTCTTAGCCTAATATCATTTTGCATATTAAATTTTTTTGCTGCATAGTGGCTGGCTGCTAGCTTACCGGAACGATGCCCATCCGCTACCGGTAGTTCTGCTGGCTTGCATCTGTGGCATTTCCCCCCTTTTTTCTTTTGTGTATTGCGGCACAGTAGCTGAGGTGTTTCCCACCTCCGGCTAACGTGTATAATGATGATGATGTATTTCTAAGTTTCCCTTCTCTTCGCAATTTGTCATTCCGGTGCCATTTGTCTCGCAGGCGATTTGTCTATTTGCTTTCGCTACGTGTTTGCTTACTACCACCAGTGCTTCACGGGGCTACCGATCTCGTTCGCATTCAAAAACACGTATCCCCTGTGTAGCTCACCATGGACATCTCTGCACTTTTGCTGATCGCCCTCCACATTAATGTATGAGGTATAAAAAGCGCATCCCTGAGTCTTCTACTTTATTTTCGATGTAGAACTCATACTGTTTCGCGAATTTTTAGTACTCTACCCAACTATCATCAGATTGTGTCAGCTTGACACTTGGGAGTTCTTTATCCATAAAATGTGGTCGTACGGCGGATGCCACTGTGACACTCACAGTAGCTATCTGGTAACCCAACTCAACATCTGTCTACGCCACTGGGTTCTTCGTAGCAGCAGCTACGCACTTGTTAATTTGTTATTGTGGCCTTCTATAGATCGCGAATGTACCGACCTCCATGTCCAAACGCTCGACTCAAAACAGAAGTTGAAAGACTTAGAAAAGGAGCAGCCTCTTCCAATTAGACATAACGCGGTACATAGGGTACGATTTCATGGCTTAAAGTCCTTCTACCAAAGGATCTTGAAACAGTCAATGTGCTACAATGCCATTGGTTGAGTCAGGTCACGACCATATGACAAGCTGGATCGCTGGACCTTGTATCTGACCTATTTCTTTAGAGTCCGCGTCCCTTGACATCCTTCTAAATGAATCGCATAGGTTTTCAGCCTTAAGTCTGAATCGGAATCACTAACTTCGGCGTCGATCTATACATCTTGTTGGTGCTAACTTCGGTATAGATGTAGGAAGTGGAGTCTCTTGTTCGGGTATGGAGTCTTTTTAGCTACTTACGAATGTGTCGAGAACTAAGTCTAACGGCCTCGTACTGTCCGTTGGTGTTGCATCTGTAAAAGAACGGGACTGTAACTTATTGGCGTACCGGACCTAAACCTCGGAATTAACAACAACGTCACACTTGACACTTCCAGTTCGACGACCGATATGTCTTGGGGCCCAAGTAACCTGGATGTTGCGTCAGTCTTCTGTCAGTACAAGTTACCTCTTTTAGCAGACTCGGTTCATTGCACCCTGTCTTCTGTTGAACTGCTCTTCTATTTTGCAGTTCCGGTTCAGGCAGTTCCTGTCATCAGCTTTAAGTAAATCAAGGCTGGATCGCAATTTCCATTTCATCCTGCTTTAATCGGAAATTATTGAGGAAACTGCTTGTTTCATGGATCTCAACCATTGGTCACTTCTCTTCTCTCTTAAAAAGTTCCACAAGTTGCTCTGCTAGGCTGTTCGACTATGGATGGTATGGGACTGACCTCATGTGGGTTATGGCGTTTTGTGTTGCAAAGTCCTGGAAAATCGCTGCAATGAATTTTCAGTTGTTAATCACTAATGTGTCGGGATACCCGAACCGACTGGAAACCTAACGAAGCGCAGTAATGATTGCTGAATTAGTAGATGCCACCGGCAATTTATTGCAGACCTCAACTAGAATAAATCGATTGCTTCCATTAATAGGGGTCCTGCATAATCGACCTAGAGCCTTGCCTATGTTTTTCCTTGATCTGACCAACAAGGGAGCCCTGCTTTCCTTAGCGACTTCAAAGCAACTGCGCATTTGTTGCAAGAGCTGGAAACTTCTTTTCGAGCATCATGATAAGACCAATAAAGGTAGCTGCTTGTCAATGTCTTCATACGGTTTATTCCCAGGTGTCCGATGTGGAACTGATTCAGGACCCTCGGCTGAAGTTCCTTAGGAACCACCACTCGTTCTGCAAAGTGTAGACAGAATTGACCGGGAATTACGGCGTTTATAAAACTACTTCAGTTCATTGTCTTTGATCTTGTGTGGCTATTTTAATCTATGGAATCGGAAAATTTGCTGCACCAAGGGGTCATGTGCTGTTATGACACATATCTGAGAGGCTGGATGGCTTTAATTGCATCTGCGACGACGCAACAAACGTCAGATTCGATCAAAATGTTTTCTACTACGACGCCTGGCTTCTGTCGATCTTTGCACTTGTGGTGTGACAAATCATCAGCTTGACCAAATGTTCCTAGTTGATTGGCATTCGGAATCGTATCCCAGTAGTCTTGTCGCCCACCTCTGAAGCGATTTGCAGAGTACAAGGGAATGCTTTTCTTGGAACCGAAGATAATAAGCATAGGATTTAAATCCGTGGCCAGAGTAAAATGGTGACCGATAAACATTTTGTGAAATTTCTGAAATGCGCATGCATATATATATATATATATATATATATATATATATATATATATATATATATATATATATATATATATATACATGCCCCATGCTGAGGCTGATGTTGCCTTCTTGATGCTTCTTCACCGCAGTTGGGCTAAACCAACTTACACTTAAACTAGGTCTTTTTAAGCTGGCTAAATTTCATTCCACTTTATTTGGTTTGTTCTGCCTACCTGAATACTCTTCTATTAACTGGCCACGTTGCTTACATTAATTGCGCTTATCTTCGGTAACTTTGTTGCGTTTTGTAGCATTTTTAAGTAACTTGTGGACATTTCTTACTTATCGCGGATTCGTTGCTAACCAACTTACTTCGTATGCTTATTTAGCTTAGAGTTATGCCAGCGTATCTGTATGCATTATTGGATTTGTTTTATTTCATCTTGTCGTTCCAGGTGATTGGCTGTTGTTTGATATCCCCGGTGTGGCTGCGCTTGATGTGCATGTTGACAAGGTGCCTACCTGTCTATTACCCACTACCTCGTTCATACTGGCTCCAGGAGACAGTTGGTCGTTGCTGGAGGGGACGGGGTGCACGGTCCTTGTGGCCGTGCTAGGCTCGAAGAGCGGTTCCATGCACTGAGTGTGGAGCGGACTACGGTCCAGCCACCGGCTTGTGTGCGCTTGATTTCCCAAATACAACGTGCTTGTGTTTGCTTGTGAAGGAGTGTGGGCCGGCTCCGTTGACGAAACGTGGCTCCCATCCACATGCCTCCCGGTCTTATTCCTTCGGGTTTACACTGGATATGGGGTGTGTGGTTGGAACTGTGAGTGGTGCAGCGCAAGCCATCCATGGTCCCTCTGTAGGCGCAGGCGTCCTGTGTCTGGCCACAGTGACAGGCAAATCCGAAACCGGATGCCGCCAATCATATATATATATATATATATATATATATGGCGGGAGAGCCTATGGTGCGCTGAGGCTGGTGGTGGCTAGATCCTGACAGATAGTCTACCCACTGTTGCTACTGTTGTGCCATTTGCTCATGTCCTGGGCGTCTCCTCGTGGCGACCGCTGGGTGGGAGTTGGGTTTCGCCCTTCTCCCTGCTAAGATCCAGGACACCAATCCGCATGAGTCAGTGAACTGACCATGTGCTAGACCCGCTGCCTTTCGGGTGTTCATTTAATCGAAGGCTTTGGCTGAGGACCCGAGTCGTTCTCCTCTCAGGTGTGAGCGCCCTGCCAGTATCCTAGTCCATCCTCTTCGGAGGTTAGGAAGTGGTCGATGGCCCTCTTCCCGTAAAACCTAACCATGTGAGACAACAGGTCTACGGATTATAAGCTCACAGCTCGATTGGCGTAGAGCACGAGCGCCACGCATTTTCTCTGTCGATGGGAGGACACCTCCGGGTGTTCATTGGTTTGCTACTGCCCGCCTCAAGCCAGGCAGCCCCTGGTCAAATTGGCGCAAACCCGCCAAAACCCACCTGCGTCCGGCCGTGGTCGCAGGTGTATCCTACTATGGTCGCAAAATATATATGAATCGTTCCAATGCCTCCAAGGCTGCGTGTGACGGCCGTCAAGCAGATCCCAATCTGTCTCTGCAATCACATTCCCGAGTTGGATCTGCTCCCCC